AAGCCCAACGTTCCCTACGGGACCCAAGATAAAGCTGGGAGTCTCTAGTGTTCCTGTAGTCTTTTGATACTTGTACTATAACCATTTCCCTTCAGAAAGCTTTAAAATGTATGCCCCATTCATGCCCAGCCTCTAGAAATTAGGAACATCTTGGCAGGACCCTCACCAGCGGGTTTCTGGATCTCTAAGGACTTGCCCTTATACGTATCAAACAGGTTGAGCGAGGAATACTTCTTTCCATCCTTCCCCTTGGCAGTCGGCCCCGAGCGATCGGACATTGCGCTGGAAGCTCATTGAGTAGGTTGGGTCCTGCAGGCACCTCCCCCAAAACGTGCCGGAGCCTGTGGGCCAGACACCAAGTGTTTCAGTCTCTGCTCCCTAGATGCTCCTTTGCATTTTCGTTAGGGGCCCAGACACTTGGCCCTCTGATGTCTTTTCCTCCAGCCTATTCAAACTCCCAGTCCCTTTAAGCAACTCCCAGAGTCCAAATGCCATGGTCCCTCTTTCCCCCAGACACCTCTTGCCAAGGAAATCCAAATAAAAAATCTGGTATGCTCCTAGTAGTAGACACACACTTCCTTTTGTGCCAGTCTATAAAGGATAGCCGCTTCTTCATTATTCCAAGTAATAATCTCTTCCCCCTCCACAAAAAGCATTCCAGAGATGTATGATAAAACATGGCAAGTCCCAGCCCCAGAGAAAACCAGAAAGAGGCAGACAGCTCCATCCTGCAAAAAACAGAGCTTTAAATCCCTGACTTATTAGACACCAGCTCCCTAACTGTGCCCCAGGTTCCTTTCCCAGCAGCCTCGCTCCCATCTGGGGAGGTCTGCACGAAGGTATGCCGGGAGTTTAACGATTTTATGAGCTTGCTCAGCCAGACTACGGGCTAGTGCCAGATAATTCCTCGTGGAATTGGGGCTCTACATACTCCCAGGCTACAGACCCCAAGTATTTGGAATATTCACCCCATTTTTTCCTACACTTGCCCCCATCCCGGCTCCTGGAAAAAATCTGGTCTCCAGATGAAAACACTGGTGGGCTCTGGCTTACCCTATGCAGATATGAGAAAAACAAAACATTATGGAGCCACCTCAAGCACACACTGTAACCACGGGGCCAAAGCCAGAACCAACTTCATTTTCCTACTCCCAGTAAGAACAGCCATCAGCAGTCATCTCTTTCCCCAATATCCCTTCCTCCCCAAGCAGGCCAAACTCTGCATCGTCAGTTGGTTCCTGAGTGACCAGGCATTCATTTATAGGAAGGAATGGCGTACAGGAAAGAGATGGGAGGTGGTGGGAAATCCAGGCAGGCCCACGATAAAAACTGGGTAAAATCAGGATGAAAAACAGGGAAAACTTTAAGACAGGTAAGATGAAGGAGTGGGGGTTGCCCTGTAGGTGTTTAAAGACTCCAATCTTCGAAAAATAAATACATGAATAAAAAGGGGATAGACAAATGTGGAGTAACACTAATAAAAGAGGATCAACACGAAAGCAGCTGGGAAATAATACACTTAACCAGAAATGGTAAAGAAAAGATACAGAGCAAAGTAAGAGGGCAATGTCAGGAAACCCAAGAAAAAAAGGGGGGGTTGAGACAGAGAAGAAATAAGAAAAATGAAAAAGCAGAGAAAGACTGAGAAACGTAGAAAGCAAACATGTAGGATAAAAGCAGGGTTCCAGGGTGGGAGTGACTCGACGCGAAGAGGGGCGTCAAGAATGGGAAATCCAAGCACTGGGTGATGGCAGGGTGGCCCAATATGGAAGAAAGGAGACTCTCCGAAGATCGGCGGGCGCGGCCCACCCCAGACTGGCGGCGGGGAAGGGGACTCACAGATTGGGGTGAAGAGGCCAAGAGCGCAGCTGAGGTTGGGGAGTTAGGGGCCCAGGAGAGGGGGTCGCCCCATAAAGCCAGGAATGTGGGTGGTTAGGGGCAGGCCTCAGACTCTGTGTGAGGGGTTGGAGGTGCGGGTACCAAGCTGGGGTATCAGAGGGGGAGGGGCAGTCAAGCCCCGGCAGCAGGAGGACAAAATGGCGGCGGCTAATGGCAGCTTCTCCTCCCCCCGGCCCGCCACCGCCGCCGCCGCCGCCGCCGCCGCCACGACCGCTCCCGCGCCGGAAAAGGGCCTTAGCACTCGGCTCCCCAGACTCACCTGGCCGGGTGCGCGGGGGTCCGGGACCGGGGCCTAGGGGCTCCCCGAGGTGGGATGGCGGTGGGGCGGGGGCGGATGGCGGCGGATGGCGCCGGGATCGGCTCCTCCCGTCTCCCTCGCTCACTCCGCGGCTGGGCTCCGACTAACGGCCCATCCGGGCAACCGCCGCCCCCGGGAGCACCCCCCCACCTCCCGCCTCCCTCAGCGCATGACACGCCCCCTGATTTGCATAAAGGGCGGGGCACCTTCTACCCTATCCCTCTTTGCTTCGAGGGCTGTCCTTGTTTAAAAAAAAAAGCAGGGCGTGTGGAGCAGGCATAGGTTCTTTGCATAAAGAGGAGGGACTTTCAGGCGCTAGGACGCCGGTTGGCTAAAGAGACGCGCCCCCGGCGTCGGCCGTTAAGACGCGTAGAGGGGGCGGGAATGCAGTGCCTGTCGGCTGGGCGGTTAGGGCGCAGAATTTGCACGATTTATGGGGGCGGGGGGAAGGGGCGGAGCGTGCGTTGTGCATTCGTGGAAAGATGGGAGCGGAGAGACATAGGGACGCGGAGAGTGGAAGGAAACGATGCAAGACTGGCAGTGCTTTCGCCGGAGATGGAGCGAGAGCACGGGGCGGAAGGGGTTAGCTGCCGGAGGGCGGGGCTTACGTAACCGTGGAAGAGTCCAGACTCACGCGTCCATTCGCGAGAGGTGAAAGCACCAAAGAGGCGGGGCCTTCTAGTTATTAAATCACGTCGTGCAAATGAAGTGGATAGACAGGCCAATCCTGGGGTCCAGGGGAGTGTATCGTCGGCCCCGTGCGGTGTAGGCATTCTTTTGCTAGTTCTATTTATTTGCATAATACATGCAAATCATTTGAACAAAGATAGGGTAGGAATGACCTCTTCGATCAACATATCGGCAACCAATGACTAAGACATTTAATTTTATAACCTATAATTTTCATGAATATATTTGTATATCTGATACTATTGGCGGTTTGTATTCTCTTCACATGGGTTTCATTCTACGAAATGTGGTACTAGTTCCCTCCTTTGTCTCTAATTACTATGCTCCTGTCAGACCGGCTACCCGTTCAGCAAATCATTCGACAACTGCTTCGAAGGCGTGAGAGATATCCACAATATATTGTGAAAGTAGAGGAATAAAATCAGATCCTGCCTGAGGAAGTTCAGAAATGCTTCTAGAAAAACGTGGATCTTTTTAAATGTGAAGAACTAGTTAGGATTTAGCCAAGTTTGAGACGGTGCACAGCTCAGGCCCAGTGAACTGATGTGCAGAGGCATGGTTTTAGGGACCCGTGCCTCTCAGCTGTTGTGACTAAAGAGACTGTCTGTCCATTATGGAAAATGAGATCAGAAAAATTAGCAAGAATCCAATAACAGTTTTATCCTGAGGCACATTAAGATAGTTGAGATGACTTCAGTTCTTAAGCATTCAAAATGATTCTCTTGTCCCCCTCTCCCTGGTCACCTACCACAGCAAAATTTCTTGGAAGAGTTATCCATATTCACTGTCACCAATTTCCCTCCTGTCATTCATTCTTAAACCAACTCCAGTCAAGCCTTCACCCCAATCTTTTACCCAGCATGCGTGTATCAAGGACATCAGTCTCATGTCTTGAAATAGCATTCATGTGCTGATGACTCCCAAATGCAGACCTCTCTCCCAAACTCCAGACTTGGATACAGAGCTATGTACTTGACATCTCCTCTTGGTTATCTAACATCATGTCAAATTCGGTATGTCCAACACCGAACATTTGATCTCCAGACCCTCAAAATTTGCTCTCTCCACAGCCTTCATCATCTCAGTTGGTGGCAATTTAAAAATTATAGTTAAGCTAAAAACCCTGGAATCCTCATGGACTCCCTTCTTTATTTCACTCCCCACTTTCAAGCAGACAGGAACTCCTGTCTTGAGAAAATATCCAGAATCCAGCCAATTCACTTACACTGCTTCCACCTTGATCTCTCACCTGGGTTACAGCTACAGCCTCCTAACTTGTCTTTAGTCTACCCCTGCCCCTACTGCCTGTTCTCTGCACTGCAGCCAGAGTGGGCCTTTTCTCAAAGGAGGCCTCAAAGGACTCCCTTGCTCAAAGTTCTACAATGCCTCTCAGTTTCTCTCAAAGTCCTTAGAGTGGCCTACAAGACCCTAAATGACTTGGCCCCATGATTTTATCACTTTCCCTACTTCTACTAGGCATGTCTCACCTTGGAGCCCTTTTGCTTCTCTTTTCCTCGCCAAGTTGACTCTTCCCCCAGAAACCCACATTGCTCATTCCTTTACCTCCATGAGGTCTTTGTTCAGTGCTGGTCCTCTTCTCAGTGAGGCCTACCCTGATGACACATTCAAAATTTTAATCTTCCCTGACCATCCTGTTACCCCCGTTCCCCTTTAACTTGCTCTACTTTTTCTTCTAACATCATATATATTTTAAATTATATTTATTGTTTGTTGTCTGTCCTCCTCCTACACCATTTTCCACAACAGAATGTAAACTTCACAATGGCAAGGATCATTGTTTTGTTGACTCTTATATCCCAACCACCTAGAATAGGGAATGGCACAAGGTTGATGGCCAATAAATTATTTTTATTTTTTTTAAAGATTTTATTTATTTATTTGACAGAGAGAGAGAGAGAGAGAGCACACAGGAGCAGGGGGAGGGGCAGACAGAGGGAGAAGCAGGCTCCCCGCTGAGCAGAGAGCCCAATGCAGGGCTTGATCCCAAGATACTGGGATCATGACCTAAGCTGAAGGCAGACACTTAACTGACTGAGCCACCCAGGTGCACCCCCCAAATGATTTTTTAAGTCTTTTTATCAAAGCATACTATATTTATTTATTTTTGATGAATTTTCACAAACTGAGCAGAACATGTAGCCAAAAATAAAACTTGAGCGCCACAGAAGCTGCTAGAGGGCCTCTTCCAGTCATTGCCCTCCCCCAAGACTTACTACTATCCTGACTTATAACAACATATATTAGTTTTACCCTTTTTTGTACTTTATACAGATGGAATTGTACAGTAAGGGTTCTTTTGTGTCTGTCTTCTTTTGCTTAACATTATGTTGAAGAAGTTCATCCACATTGTTGCATGTAGCTGTGGTTTGTTCGTTCTTGTTGCTGTAAAATAATAGTCCGATGTATGAATAGAACCCAATTTATTTATCCTGAACGAACGAATTATTTAAGCTCCAGCTCCTTTGTATCCTCCTCGGTGTCACCGGAGTTGTTGCAAAGATTAAGAGAATTAGTATACAGAAAGCGTTTAGGATGGTATACAGTGGGTGCTCAATAAGTTTAGCTATCGATTTTATTACGTTCAGATATTTTATCCAACTTGCTGTGATCTCCTCCTCATCTGAAGTCCCATACATTTACTGTAGCACTCTTTAAGAGGTCAACCTGGCTTCACCACTGGGAAGAGCCAACACTCCTGTTCTCAGTACATGAAACAAGCTGGGCTAATTGGATTATCTCTCCCCAGAAAGTCAGGAAATCTGAAATAGTGGCCAGAGTCTGGGGATTGCTAGAGTTAACCCTCATCTGGACCTGTTGGAGGAAAGGTCCAGGAATAGCCTCACTGAAGACTTGGGAACTCTGTGGTTCGTTCCTTCCCTTGGATTGGCTTTTTTTTTTTTTTTTAAGATTTTATTTATTTGACAGAGAGAGAGAGACACAGTGAGAGAGGGAACATAAGCAGGGGGAGTGGGAGAGGGAGAAGCAGGCTTCCCGCGGAGCAGGGAGCCTGATGCAGGGCTTGATCCCAAGACCCCGGGACCATGACCTGAGCCGAAGGCAGACGCCCAATGACTGAGCCACCCAGGCTCCCCCGGGATTGACTTTTTAATCCTTTCTGCCATCCAAGTATTCTGTATCCCCAGTATCTGTTCTCAATATCCTCCAAATAGAAGCCCCCTTTCCCTTCATTAGACTCAGTTTCTGCAGCTTGTCCCCTAAAAGGACCTCAACGACTCATTTAATGCTTAACTTATCAGGACTTATAGTTTTGTGAATCCTTTACTCTATTCAGTAACATCAGTTCTTTTATCCATCCATCTATCCATCCATCCATTCAAGTTTTAAACATTATTGAGGGCTTATGATATGCCAGGCGCCGTGAGGTAGATCATATTATCCCCACTTTCTGAGGAAAGACTCAGAGAGTCTTAATGATTTGTTAGGTAACAAAGACTAGTGATGGAGAATATTGGTTCAAGATAATCCTTGCTTGGGGCCCCTGGCTGGCTCAGTCAATAGAGCATGTGACTCTTGATCTCGGGGTTGTGAGTTGGAGCTTCACGTTGGGTGTAGAGATTACTTAAAAAAAAGTAAAATCTTGGGCGCCTGGGTGGCTCAGTTGGTTGAGCGACTGCCTTCTGCTCAGGTCATGATCCTGGAGTCCCGGGATCGAGTCCCGCATCGGGCTCCCTGCTCAGCAGGGGGTCTGCTTCTCCCTCTGCCCTCTTCCCTCTCGTGCTCTCTGTCTCTCATTCTCTCTCTCTCAAATAAATAAATAAAATCTTTAAAAAAAAAAAAGTAAAATCTTAAAAAAAAAAAAAAAAGATAATCCTTGCTCTTCCCCATGGGCCTGGGTGGTATTTTTTTTGTCTGTACATGTCTTTTTGTCCCATCTAAATTCCTTGAGATCAAGGCTATCATATATCTGGAATCTGCCTTGAAATCCAAAACCATCTGCTGTAGTTGACACATTACAAAATTGTGGATAGATTGCTCATATGGGCAAATCCTTGCTGCCCTTCCCTCAAAGATGTTCACTTTTTCCCAAACCCAGGAAAAAAACTCCCCCCAAACAGAGACCAAGCTGACTTGATCTGGAGAAGGATAGTTTATTTAATTTAGTGTACCTCTGGCTCACAATTCTGTGTCCTTTTTCCGTGTTGGGGTCATTAGAAGCCCCATCAATCCCACAACATCTCCCCTACTACAAATTAGGGCAACTCAGAGATATTTTTCTTCGCTGGGGGACCTGCTGGCTTCTCCTGTTCTCTCGCTTTCTCCTCATACATCAGGATCCTGGTTGAGATGGGAAGAGACAGAGGGATCAGGGGACAGTCTTCTCGAGAGAATAAATCTTAGGCTGCTGTGAAAGTCTGGAAAAGGACAGGGGTTATTATGGTGGGAGGAAGAGGAAGAAGAGCAGGGATGGCCATGCCGGGGGCTGTAGGGACCAGAACATTGGATAGTGATAGGAACTTGGAAGGGTCCCTTAAAGAAGGGAAGAAATGGATGCTGAGTAATGTGCAGGTGACCCTGGGGATGGGGGTAGGGTTGAGGAGAAAACAGGTAAGCATAGGAAAGGTTGGCACTGGACCCTCACATTTTTAGGATGGCAGATCTCTTGCCCAGCATCATCTTGAGGAAGTCAGAGTAGCTGAAAGTCTCCCCAGAGCCGCCGGACACCTCCCTGATTAATTTCTTGAGCTCCAGGTGGGTCTTGGGGACCCCCAGTTTCTCCAGCATCCGCTTCAAGGACATGATATCTAGAGGCAGAGGAGTGGGGTGAGAAAAGGGGAGCCTCTCTCTCTCTGTCCTCACCTTCCCATTCCCATTCTAGTCCCTCCTACTCTGGTGGCTGGGCCCTCTCCCAAACCACTGGGAATGGAGCATGGTAGGAGAGACCTCCCTCTTCCTGGGTCTGCACACCCCCCCATCACCCTTTTCTCACCGATATCTCCGTTTCCATTCAGGTCAAACTCCATGTATTTCTCTGGGTGAGGGGAGAAAGCAGATAGGGTAAGCGCTGGCTGGAGGGTCCCAGGCCGAGGCAGGGCAGGGGCTTGAGAAAAGGGCCGCTGACCAAGCGCTAGGTGGGGAAGATGTGGAAGGGGGAGGTGGGGCAAGGAGAGGAAGTGTGGGTTGGGTTGAGGCACCCTGTTAAGGTGTAGGGAACCAGAGAGGGTGCTGAGAGGGGCAGCCCAAGGAAAGAGACTGCAACCAGGGGGAACAATAGAGGCAGCCCCCCTTTTTTCCACCACACATGTAGACTCTGTGTCTTTGAGGTCCTTTCTCTGTTCTTGAGGAAATCAAGAAATCTCCTCACTCCCCATCTGCCCCTACAGTTTTCCCCTCACTCTTGAAGGTCTCCAGTTTGGAGGGCAGATCCTCATCACTGCTATATTTGGGATCATCCAGGAACTGCTGTGGGGAGAAAGCAAGAGCCAGGATAGGTCCACCTCGTCCAGGGGCCCCTTCCCCCCAGGCCCTGCCCCCTCAGATCTTCCTTTTACCTTGTTGGTTTCATCGAGTCTCTCTTCCTGCTGGGCCTTCAGCAGCCCGAAGGCTTTTCCTCCTGAGGGGGCACAGAGGTTAATGTTTCCTCACCCCCCCATTCCTCTTCTTTCCCCCACACCGGCCCAGGGTCATCAGAATTCTGCCCTCCTAGACCTGCTCACCACCTCCTAGCCCTGCCCAGGTCTGTCCATCTCCTTGCTCCCATTTTAGGCTCTGCCTCTTCTACCTTCCTTACCCTGTAAATCCCTGGTTTGGCTCATAGCTCAGATGTTGATGGAGAAACCTGTAGATAAGTGGATAGAGATGGAGCTGGTGCTCTCTCTGTCCGCCGGCTCTCCTATCCCATCAGCCTCCTCGGAGGCCTCCCTCCTAAACTTCCTCTTTCCCCTCATTCCCTCCTCCTCCAGTCCCAGGCCTCACTTCCCCTCAGCTTCTGCTGACATGAGCACCCCAAGAGGAAGGGCCGGTGGCTCTAGGATTGAGATGAGAAAATAACATTCTCCCAAATTCCTCTTAAGGAGAGCCCAGTCTAGGGGTGCCTGGGTGGCTCAGTCGTTAAGTGTCTGCCTTCAGATCAGGTCATGATCCCAGGGTCCTGGGATCGAGCCCCACATCAGGCTTTCTGCTCAGTAGGAAACCTGCTTCTCCCTCTCCCACTACCCTCTGCTTGTGTTCCCTCTCTCGCTGTGTCTCTCTCTGTCAAATAAACAAATAAATAAAATATTTTTTTAAAAAAGAGAGCCCAGTCTGTGCAGGAAAGAAAGAAGCCACTGGAGGTATGGGGGAAGGCTATTTACTCTCAGGAACAAATAAATGGTCTTTGAACAGGTGCAGAGGGTCAGGTAAATCTTAAGACTTGGATTTGGTCGGGTGTCATGAGTCTGGGCACGCAGGTTTGGATACATAGCCGAGGAAGGGCTGACTGGATTTTTCTACGCTGTGAATGGGAGAAAAATCTCAAGTCCACTGGCAGATCTAAAAGGACGGCAAGATGGTTTAGGGTCGGAAAGGGAGAGAAGCTTCACTCCCAGTCTGGCAGCTCCACAGAGGCACTTGGAAACATGGCAATGCCTAACACATGAATTGTACTTATTCGCTTTAGGATGTGCAATGTAACCCATTCATCTTATCTCCCTTGAAATATTTAGTGAAATCTACAGAGCTCAGGAACTCGAGAATTTTTTTAAAAGATTTTTGTTTATTCATTTGAGACACAGAGATACAGAGAGAGAGAAAGAGCATGAGCAGGGGGAGAGGCAGAGGGAGAGGGAGAAGCAGGCTCCCCGCTGAGCCAGGAGCCCGACGTGGGGCTCGGGGACCACGACCCGAGCCGAAGGCAGACGCTTAACCATCTGAGCCACCAAGGCGCCCCAGGAATTCGTGAATTTAAGTAGATTCTTTGGAGGAACTGAAAGTGGTGCTGAGAGAGACAGCATCTGTGGAAACAAGAGCCAGAGGGTGAAGCCAACACTAGGGGGGTGTGTATGTGTAATCGGGGCCAGTCACCGTGGGTTCGATAGAATGGGTAAGTAGCCTCTAATAAATGTCTTCCCCACGCATATCCTTTTTCCTTTTTTTTGTCGTATGAGTAGTTGCTTCCAGGGGAGGTGAGGCTAGTAGGTTCCCCTCACTAAGACGTTTTTGTTCAAACTCCCCACCATTTTTGTTCAAACCTCCCAAACTCTGGGTGGTTCAGTCAGTTGATTGTCCGACTCTTGGTTTCTCAGGATTGTGAGATCTAGCCCCGCAGGGGGGCTCCCTGCACAGTGGGGAGTGTGCTTGAGATTCTCTCTCTCCCTCTCCCTCTGCCCCTCCCCCCTCACTCTCTCAAATAAATAAATAAATCATAAATAAATAAATAAATAAATAAATAAATAAATAAATAAATAAAATAAAAACAGACTCCCCACCCAGAGCTCCACCCACCCTGCCCCAGCATCGATGGAGACACCTTTCCTCCTCCCCTTCCCTTCACCTTACTTCCCCTTCTGCAGCTGGGAGTATTCACTTCTCACTGCCCTCTCCCTGACCTGTGCAGGTGGGGGGAGATGCTGGGGTGAACTCTGAATTCTGGACTTCCCTTTACTGTAGCAGCCTCTCTCCTTTCAGAGAAAGCTACAACCCTACACTCAGGTCTCAGTGCCTAGTAGGGGGAATTCATTTCTTTATTCATACATTCATTCAACACATAATTATCAAATGCATACTCTATGCCACCTCAGTGATCCAAACAAGTGTCAATTCTTGTCCTCAAGGACAGTCTAACTGCGGAACACAGACCATAAAAATAAACATATTGGGGTGCCTGGCTGGCTCAGTCAGCGGAGCATGTGATGATTGATCTTGGGGTTCCAGCCCCATGTTGGATGTAGAGGTTACCTAAAAATAAAAAATTCTAAAAATAATAAACATATTAAAGGTGGCAAGTACCTATGCAGAAAAACAAAGTAGGGAAGGGGGATAGGAAGTGCTGTGGGAGACTGCAGTTTTATTTTTATTTTATTTTATTTTTATTATTTTTTAAATATTTATTTATTTGAGAGACAGAGAGAGAGAGCATGAGCTGGGGTGGGGCAGAAGGAGCAGGAGAGGGACAAGCAGACTCCCTGCTGAGCACGGAGCCTGTGGGGAGACTTGATCCCAGGACCCCGAGACCGTGATCTGAGCTGAAGTCAGATGCTTAACTGACTGAGCCACCCAGGCACCCTGGACTGCAGTTTTAAAGAGGGTGATCAGAGAGGCTTCTCTGAGAAAATATTTGAGCAAAGATTTCAGGTAGGGGGGTTTCTGGCTAGCCCAGTCAGTGCAGCATGTGACTCTTGATCTCGGGGTTGTAAGTTTGAGCCCCAGGCTGGGTGTAGAGATTACTTAAAAATAAAATCTTAAAAAAAAAAAAAAAAGATTTCAAGAAGGTATGGAAATAAGCCATGTGGCTATATGAGAGAGGAGCATTTCAGGCAAGTGCAAAGGTCCTGAGGTGAGAACATGTCTGGATATCTGGAGTATTTGTGAAGCAGCAGGATGAACAGTGTAGCTGGAGCCAGATGGATGAGGGGAAACAGGCAGGAGATGAGGCCAGATTGGGTAGGGCCTTATAGGCCATTGGGAAGGCTCTGGCCTGTATTCGGGGTGAGACTGCCTCCCAGACTGTTCTTTCCATCAAGAATGGTTTGGCATGGGGCGCCTGGGTGGCTCAGTCGTTAAGCGTCTGCCTTCGGCTCAGGTCATGACCTCAGGGTCTTGGGATCGAGTCCCACATCCCTGCTCGGCGGGGAGCCTGCTTGTCCCTCTCCCACTCCCCCTGCTTGTGTTCCCTCTCTCGCTGTGTCTCTCTCTGTCAAATAAATAAATAAAATCTTAAAAAAAAAAAAAGAATGGTTTGGCAGACTACCATAGTGGGACAGAGCTTAGATGCTCAGAGAAACCCCTGGGAGAAAGTGATAGCTGCTCTGACATGGGACAAAAGTGAAGGGTAAGAGTATCTACAAGGGCAAAGGGTGGAGAACAAAACACAGATGGAGGGAAAGCCTGTGAAGACCCAACATACAGGAAGACATCACCCACCCAGACTCAGGGGCCCAGCCCCCAGGGTCACAGAGAAGGCTGACTCCTAGTAGTAGGGGTGAAGGGGGGGCTTCTGGGCAAGGGTGGGAAATGCAGGGGTGCATTAGGGGGCAGCTTCGAGGAATCCATGAGAACACGGAGATAGGGGAAGTAGATAGCTCTCTGACTGGCTGCAAAATCTAGATCTGAGCAGAGATAATGCAGAAGCTCCTTAAAACAGTGGCTCCCTCTCTCTCTGTCTCTCATGAATAAATAAATAAAATATTTAAAAAAAAACAAAACAAAAAAACAGTGGCTCCCTCTGAGTGGCGCTTCCTGCAGCATTACACGAAGGCTGTTAGAAATGTGCCTGGTTGGACTACTGGGTATTTACCCCAAAGATACAAATGTAGGGTCCAAAGGGGTACGTGCACCCCGATGTTTATAGCAGCAATGTCCACAACAGCCAAACTGTGGAAAGAGCCAAGATGTCCATCGACAGATGAATGGATAAAGAAGATGTGGTATATATATACAATGGAATATTATGGAGCCATCAAAAGGAATGAAATCTTGCCATTTGCAACAACGTGGATGGAACTGGAGGGTATTATGCTGAGCGAAATAAGCCAATCAGAGAAAGACATGTATCATATGACCTCACTGATATGAGGAATTCTTAATCTCAGGAAACAAACTGAGGGTTGCTGGAGCGGTGGGGGGTGGGAGGGATGGGGTGGCTGGGTGATAGACACTGGGGAGGGTATGTGCTATGGTGAGAGCTGTGAATTGTATAAGACTGTTGAATCACAGACCTGTACCTCTGAAACAAATAATACATTCTATGTTAAAAAAAAAAGAAGAAGAAGATAGCAGGAGGGGAAGAATGAAGGTGGGGAAATTGGAGGGGGAGATGAACCATGAGAGGCTATGGACTCTGAAAAACAAACTGAGGGTTCTAGAGGGGAGGGAGGTGGGAGGATGGGTTAGCCCGGTGATGGGTACTAAAGAGGGCACGTTCTGCACAGAGCACTGGGTGTTATACACAAACAATGAATCATGGAACACTACATCAAAAACTAATGATGTAATGGATAGCGATTAACATAACATAATAATAAAAAAATAAATTAAAAAAATTATTAAAAAAAAAAAGAAATGTGCCTGGTTGGGCCTCAGCCCAGACCTACTGAATCAGAAACTCTGGGGGTGGGGCCTGACAATAGGTTTTTAACAAGTGCCTCAGGTGCTTCTGATACAGGGTCAAGTGTGAGAGTCCTTGCCCTAAAGCAATGGAGAGGTGCTCGAGCCTGTGAGGCCTGCTGAACCCAGGCTGAAGGTATCAGCGTAGCTTAAGCACGGGTTAGTGGGGGGTGCAGCTGGTCAGTCTTGGAGGAAGAAGAAAAGGAGGAGTCACAGGGGCCAGACGTGTTAGTGTCCAGCCAAGCAGTCAGGGAAATGACCCACCAGGAGAACCCCATGAGATTAGAATCCCTATGGAACTGGCACCTGTTG